CAGCTTTCCTAGCAGCCTCTTCATGGTTCCCATTCGCCTGCAGGATCCCCAGGTACATGTACTGTCCTCTATGTCTGCAATGTTGCCTTCTGGTAGTTTGATCCCCTCAGTTCTGACTACCTTCCCTCTCTTTGTTACCATCCGACTACACTTCTCCAGTCCGAACAACATTCCGATGTCATTGCTGTATACCCTGATGGTGTGGATCAGTGAATCGATGTCTCGTTCACTCTTGGCATACAGCTTGATGTCATCCATGTACAGGAGGTGGCTGACAACTGCTCCGTTCCGTAGTTGGTATCTGTAGCCAGTCTTGTCAGTGATCTCACTGAGGGGGTTCAGGCCTATGCAGAACAACAGTGGGGACAGAGCATCTCCTTGCTCTCCTGTGCTATGGGCTTGAGGTTGGCCTCCAGTCTTGTCCGCCACATCCCCATTGAGTTCCTGATGAAGGCTCTCAGGGTCCCATTGATCCTATATAGTTCTAGGCATTCCAGGATCCAGGTGTGGGGCATTGAGTCATAGGCCTTCTTGTAATCAATCCAGGCAGTGCACAGGTTGGTCAGTCTGGTCCTGCAGTCTCGGCTGCCTGCTTGGTCTACCAGTAGCTGGTGTTTTGCGCCTCTGGTATTCTTGCCAATTCCTTTCTGTGTCCCGCTCATGTATTGGCCCATGTGCCTGTTCATCTTAGCAGATATGATGCCTGACAGGAGCTTCCATGTAGTACTCTGAGGCAGGTTATTGGTCGGTAGTTGGAGGGGACCGGTCCCTTCTTGCGGTCCTTGGGGATCAGGACCGTCCGACCTTCAGTTAGCCATTCCGGGTGTCTCTTGTTAACTAGCAGCTGGTTCATTTGTGCTGCCAGACGCTCGTGGAGTGCAGTCAGCTTCTTTAGCCAGTAGGCGTGAACCATGTCGGGCCCTGGTGCTGTCCAACTCTTCATACTGGAGACCCTTTCTTGGATATCTGCCACTGTGATGGTTACTGGACCCTGTTCAGGGAGGTCGCTGTGGTCTGCCCTCAGATCCACTAGCCACTGAGCATTGCTGTTATGGGTTGCGTCCTTCTCCCATATGCTCTTCCAGTATTGCTCCGTCTCCAGCCTTGGTGGTGCTGTTCTCTTATTGTTCCCTTGCCACTGAGAGTACACCTTTGCTGGTTCTGTGGAGAACAGCTGGTTTATTCTCCTGCCTTCTATCTCTCTGGTGTACCTCCTCAAGCGGCTGGCCAAGGCTGTGAGTCTTTGCTTGGCAGTTTCCAAGGCCTCAGGTATGGACAGCTTGCTGTATTTCTTATGCACCTTCTTTGTCGCACCTTTCTGCAACTCCGTTAATTTGCTAACCTCCCTCCGTGCTACTTTGATCTTGCTCTCTAGCCTCCTTCTCCATGGAGGGTACTGCCCCTTGTGGCTGTTCAACTTGTAGCCAAGCATCTCACTGATCACTGTTGCCGTATTGTAGATCAGCTTGTTAGTGTCGGTAATCGTGGTTGTAGGTATTGTCCATAGTGCTGCATTAACACCATATATATATATATATATATATATATATATATATATATATATATATATATACATACATACATACATACAGTGGGGCAAAAAAGTATTTAGTCAGCCACCGATTGTGCAAGTTCCCCCACCTAAAATGATGACAGAGGTCAGTAATTTGCACCAGAGGTACACTTCAACTGTGAGAGACAGAATGTGAAAAAAAAATCCATGAATCCACATGGTAGGATTTGTAAAGAATTTATTCGTAAATCAGGGTGGAAAATAAGTATTGGGTCAATAACAAAAATACAACTAAATACTTTGTAACATAACCTTTGTTGGCAATAACAGAGGTCAAACGTTTACTATAGGTCTTTACCAGGTTTGCACACACAGTAGCTGGTATTTTGGCCCATTCCTCCATGCAGATCTTCTCGAGAGCAGTGATGTTTTGGGGCTGTCGCCGAGCAACACGGACTTTCAACTCCCGCCACAGATTTTCTATGGGGTTGAGGTCTGGAGACTGGCTAGGCCACTCCAGGACTTTCAAATGCTTCTCACGGAGCCACTCCTTTGTTGCCCGGGCGGTGTGTTTCGGATCATTGTCATGTTGGAAGACCCAGCCTCGTTTCATCTTCAAAGTTCTCACTGATGGAAGGAGGTTTTGGCTCAAAATCTCACGATACATGGCCCCATTCATTCTGTCCTTAACACGGATCAGTCGTCCTGTCCCCTTGGCAGAAAAACAGCCCCATAGCATGATGTTTCCACCCCCATGCTTCACAGTAGGTATGGTGTTCTTGGGATGCAACTCAGTATTCTTCCTCCTCCAAACACGACGAGTTGAGTTTATACCAAAAAGTTCTACTTTGGTTTCATCTGACCACATGACATTCTCCCAATCCTCTGCTGTATCATCCATGTGCTCTCTGGCAAACTTCAGACGGGCCTGGACATGCACTGGCTTCAGCAGCGGAACACGTCTGGCACTGCGGGATTTGATTCCCTGCCGTTGTAGTGTGTTACTGATGGTGACCTTTGTTACTTTGGTCCCAGCTCTCTGCAGGTCATTCACCAGGTCCCCCGTGTGGTTCTGGGATCTTTGCTCACCGTTCTCATGATCATTTTGACCCCACGGGATGAGATCTTGCGTGGAGCCCCAGATGGAGGGAGATTATCAGTGGTCTTGTATGTCTTCCATTTTCTGATGATTGCTCCCACAGTTGATTTTTTCACACCAAGCTGCTTGCCTATTGTAGATTCACTCTTCCCAGTCTGGTGCAGGTCTACAATACTTTTCCTGGTGTCCTTCCAAAGCTCTTTGGTCTTGGCCATGGCGGAGTTTGGAGTCTGACTGTTTGAGGCTGTGGACAGGTGTCTTTTATACAGATGATGAGTTCAAACAGGTGCCATTCATACAGGTAACGAGTGGGGGACAGAAAAGCGTCTTACAGAAGACGTTACAGGTCTGTGAGAGCCAGAGATTTTCCATGTTTGAGGTGACCAAATACTTATTTGCCACCCTGATTTACGAATAAATTCTTTACAAATCCTACCATGTGAATTCATGGATTTTTTTTTTTTTCACATTCTGTCTCTCACAGTTGAAGTGTACCTCTGGTGCAAATTACTGACCTCTGTCATCATTTTAAGTGGGGGAACTTGCACAATCGGTGGCTGACTAAATACTTTTTTGCCACACTGTATATATATAGCCATGCAGCTGGATAGCGTAGTGGTTAGACTACACGCCTTTGGAGCAGAGGATTCCAAGTTCTGTTTGGGAAAAGAGAGAATATTTTATTACTGATTGCATCTTGCAAACACCTGCTTTGGACATTGTGGAGCACTATCAATACCTTGGAGTATACATAGGCAAAAACATACTGGCTAGCCACAGGAGCACGTTCAGTGAGAGACTGAGATTACCAAAAAGCACCACTGTCCAACACAGGAAAACATTCCTGCCTGTGGCCATCTCCCTGTACAACTCCTCCATCTAACACTCTGTAATCACTGCAATAGTTACATCCTTTTTACACACACTCTTTTCTTACTCGATAATGTTGCTGTCATTATTCTTGATGATTATTTATAATCACATCTGTCAACCCTGGATATTTATTATTTGATGATTTGTATATGTTTTAACATATAGTACTGTCAAATAGTCTAGTCTGTTTTTGTTAATGTTACTGTGCTGGAGCAACTGTAACCCACATAATTTCCCTAGGGATTAATAAAGTATGCTGATTCTGATTCTTTGCCAGCTGATTACACGATTTGGCCTGGTGAGGAAAAGCTGGGGTGTCGGACTCCAGTTTGTTGGTCTGGTGACTCAAACAGACTCTCCTCCACACAGTCCTCATTTATAAAGTGCTTTACAAACCCCACCATCACGGCTAACAGCTGGATTTGCCCGTTTGAGTGCAGCTAGCCAAATACCGAACAGTCACTTCCTGCTAAAGACGGACAGTAAAGTGGACAGTACATCCTGAGTTTAATATAAACTCATTGTTGCAGCACTGAAGTGATCCTCTTACACTGATGTTTAGTTTCAGTGTCCTTATTTTCCTCCGAGGTATCGATCTTGTCACTAGTTGGCTAACATAAACTAATGTAAGTGCCAACCAACCACATGACATCACGCTTGTACTGACAGAAGTTGGCGCTAAACATGTTTTTAAAACTTTGACTTTAATCATTTATTCCTTAAATCCAGCTTCACAGATAGAGTTACATCTGAGAGCAGGGCTCCATGATGTAAAATAGCCTTTATACGTGTAGTGTTTCAGGTCCCGGTTAAACATGAGCAACAGAGTGCTGACTGCAGTTCAGTCAGTAAGTGTTATAAATAACAGTGGTTAATGGGATTTTACATAGAAAGATTTAAAATCTTAGGCTGTTGTTTTTTTAATACCTGTACCTGAAGGCAACATTACCGACTCCAGTGGCTAACAGCTCCTCAGCTCTAAAACTGTGATGTCAAACTAAATAACCCTGGGTTCTGTAGATAACAAACATTATGAGAACATTGTCTCTCTTTGTCCCAATGACCAGGTCAAAGTGAGATTTGAGAAATGTACCCCACAGCAGTGCTAAAAGCTGAAATACAGAAACAAACTTCTTTTCCTGTTAGAAATGTTTGGCTTTATCAGTGTTTACCTGCTCCTATAAATGCTTATCTGGAGTAAAGTTTGACAACACTGCTCGATGAAAGAAGACCGAATCCTTCTCCACCCAGACCAAAGCCACAGGGTGGAGCATGTCTCTGAGTGCTGCTTCACCTTTGTTGTTTCATATCAGGTGCTCGTTACTTGTCCTCTGACCATTTTTTTTTATTGAGTTTCGTGTCTCTGATAAGGTTGTTTTCTCTCCATCTGTGAACTAATTTTACCAACTCAAGGCAATAATTTCCTGTCACGGTGCCTTGACAAAACATGTTTATCATATTAGATTATTTCATGTTTATTTACTAATAATAACAGCCTGACCTCTTCTGCCTCAGTGTGGACCACAATGAAGAGCACTGGGTCGACCCACAGCTTCTGAACAAGTGTAAGTGTCACTGAGTTTCTCTGTAACATCGACTGAGCTGAAGCTTAACTCACTGCATCTCTTTCACAGATGCCTGTGATCTCACATTCGACCCCAACACTGTGAATGAAAACCTCGTCCTGTCTGAATGTGACAGGAAAGTAAGCTACACTAAGGAAAAGCAGTCGTATCCTGATCATCCAGAGAGATTTGACCAAGTGAATCAGGTGCTGTGTCGAGAGGCTCTGACTGGGCGCTGCTACTGGGAGGTGGACTGGGAAGCGTTTGTGAATATTGGTGTTGCATATAAGAGCCTGCCGAGGAAGGGACACTGGGACACAGAAATTGACCGTACTGACAAGAGCTGGTGTTTCAGCATCACCAATTCAAACGGTTACTCCTTCCGACACGGGTTGAGGGAAACTTTTATACCGGTCCCACACATCGACGTCCAAGCATTCCTGGCCAGACGCAGGAGACTGGGACTGTTTCTGGACTGGCCAGCTGGCACTCTGTCCTTTTATTCACTTTCTGGTGACAAAAAAACTCTCATTCATACCTTCCACACCACGTTCACCGAGCCTCTCTACCCAGCATTCACTGTTAATCACGGAACTTTGACCCTGTGCAGGGTGGTGAAGCTGCAAATGGAAACTGTGAGTATTTCTGGTTCTTTGGTAGCACCAACATCACAAGTTTGTGTAACTACAAAAAATATTTAATTTGCCCTCTCTGGACTTTTAGGCTCGATCAAGCTTCACACCTGAGATGAGAAAAGAAAGAGCAGGCGTTTCATACAGGTACGACACGCAAGCCTCGATGTGCCCACTGTGAGATTATGTCCTCTGCAAACACAGACGTGCTCAGAGTGCTTTACATATGCAAAGAAGAATGTGGGGAAAATTAAAAATGCTTTTAACAAATGTTTGATTGGTTGAGTCTGAATGTCAGATTGTGTCTGACAGTAGATGGTGGTCACCAATTGATGGAGTATTGGGAGCCAATTAATATACTGCTGTTTACAAGGTTGAATGTCAGTTTGAGTCTTTGTTTTATGTGTTATATTTTTGCAACTTCCCAACACACACATTTGTTAACTTTAACATGGCCTTGGTTGGTTATACCTTAACTGGTTAAAATACCAAAGTCATGGTCAATAGAGGCAGTGGCTGACCATCAACTCCTACACACGAGTAAGTAAAGTTTTAATTAAAAGAGACGGATGTGATCATCTAACTGTCATCTGATGGAAACGTTGAAGAAGGCCATAGATGCTTCTTCCTCTTTTAGGATTCTCTCACTAGTATAATAACATAAAGCCTTGGGTTTTACTTTACAGTATGAATTCTATTGTGATGACAGTCTTGCACCATATAAATTAAATTAGACTGAATTTAACAGCTACAGCATTGAGCTCCATGTTGAACCGTTCTGTGTCGTTCAGGTTCCTGTTTCCCGGTCCAGGGTTGTTCCAGTGTTCTTTGACTGGTCTGGTCTTTGATGTGACTCGTGAGAGTGAGGTCACCTACAAGACTCTGATCTGGGATCCTCTGGTCCTCCAACCAGCGCACAAAGTGGCCGGAGGCCCGCTGTTCGGCATCGAGTGTCCTCGGGACTCTATACGTCAGCTGCACCTCCCACACTGTGAACCTGAGCCGGGTAAGGACGCCACTGAAACACCTGAAGGAGAATTAAACCTGCAGAAAATGCTCTGATTTGCTTTCCATGGAAAGTTTCTGGAGGCTGTTGCAGTGAACGAAGCTGTGTGTTTTCCCAGCACTGGTCTCTGACAGCATCTCTGTGGTCCACATCACGGATGATGGCATGAGCATCATACAGCCTCTGGAGATCACTGAGACTCACGTGGTCGTGGACGTCCCTCACCTCTCCGCCTTTGGCCTCGTCTGGGATCTCGTTGAGCGGTTTTTCAATTACATGACGAAACCCGTTCGTGGCCAAGTCCTGCTCTTCCTGAGAAACAGGCCACGCCCCATCCTCAGTGTGATGCTGCTCCCAGGAAACGTCCCTCTGCACGACGTATGACTTCATCATGAAATCATTAAATGGCTTCTGCATGAATAAATCCTCTGATTGTATCTGTTTGCTTTGAAGCTCTGAAACTACTCATGCACTAAGAAAATGTTGTGATGTCTCTGAAGGTGAAAGTGCAGCACGCTGCTTCAGAGTACATCGAAGCGCCGTCCTTCTGTTATTTCCACAAAGGTCAAAAGTACAGTCTGAGCAGCGCCCCGCACGACTTTAAAATACAGCCTGCAGTGAGTATCAGTCGCTGAGTGTCAGCAGACACTTTGTCCACAAAGCTGTTTTAAATTGTGCGTTTCCATTTCGCTTCAGCGTGCAGAGTTTTTTGAAAATTACGGACCAAATTACCACCCGACCTTTGAGATCATCCTGACAACGAACGCAGAGGAAGTGATGCTGATGGTGCAAGATCCCGAGGAGACACGAGTGTGGGAGCACGACCTTCGTCTGCCCGGTGAGCCTTAACTCAGCACAAACTGAAACCTGACAGAGATCCAACCTGCACATAAAAGAGAAACGAACTTAATTCTCTCAAATCTCCGTCCTCGTTTCACTGTTAAATAAATGTAAAATAATAATAAGTTTATTAAGTTTACACCGCTGTGCGTCTGCCTGATTCAGTCTGCGCTCTGAATTTCATCCACAGTCAGTTTAGTTCGAAGCACATCTAACAGCAGCACACATTAACCAAAGTGCTGCACAGCTAAATGCAATAAAAGCCTCGAGGCTGAACAAATGACTTTGATGATGACGAAAAAAGTCTTCGTCCAGATGAACAGAATCAACTTCCTGGGATTTTTTAAAAAAAGATTACTTGGAGGTGAAACACCCCATCTCATTAATACTATAAACCAGTGTGTCACACAAAGCCAGGATTATCCCACAGGAAGGAAACAGCCTGGTACATACACACAATATTCAGGTGCAGCCAAAGGAAATCCTGCTTCTACTAAAGGCACGTAACAATGCCTTCAGATCAGGTGACGCTCAGGCCTGCAGTACGTCCAGGGCAGACCTGAAGAGGGGCACCAAGAAGGCCGAGCACAGCTACAAGCTGGAGGAACACTTTGTCAACTAGGACCCACGATGCCTGTGGCTGGGCATTCACACCATGAATGTTTCCTCCTTCAATGAGCTTCTACGCTCATTTTGACAAGGACGACAAGGAAAAGTCTGCCAGAACCCTGCCCTCTGATGACATCTCTAGCACGTTGCTTGCCCAGGCAGTAGTACCAGCGTGCTTCAAGACCACCTTCATCGTGCCAGTGCTGAAACGCTCATCACCAGCATGCCTGAACGACTTCAGGTGGGAGAGGACAGACACCCATGTCCCCATCTACATAAATGGCACAGCTGTTGAACGAGTCTCCGGCTTCAAGTTCTTGGGGACTCACATCTCTGAGAATCTGACCTGGTCAACTGACACCTCCAGCCTGGTCAAGAAGGCCCATCAGTGCCTCTTTTTCTTGAGGACACTGACGAAGAACCACCTGTCTTATGACATACTGGGTAACTTTTACTGGTGTGCGATGGAGAGCATCCTGACCAACTGTGTCCCAGTCTGGGAACTGTTACCGAACGCTAGGCACTGCAGTGAAAACCGCCCAACGCATCACAGGGACTCCACTTCCTGCCGTTGAGGATGTCCACAAGAAGACATGTCTACGCATCAATTCTCAGGGACTCCTCTCCTCCTGCCAATAAACTCTTCCAGCTCCTCCCCTCCAGAAGGCGCTACAGGAGCCTTCAGACTAAAACCAGCAGGTTTAGGAACAGCTCCTCCCCACAGCTGTCACCGAACTGAACTCACCCCCCCGCTGAACATTTCCATCCACACTCACCTAACTCCTACACTCCTCCTCCCCCCATCCCTCCCAGTGACCATGATCATGACTGTCATTCATTCTCAACGTTCACCACATGCTCACATTGGTTACTGCTGTAGTTTAGGACACTGACATAGTCTCTGTTATAGTGCGTCCACTGTTCAGAGAGCTACGCTTCCTCGGCTGTAGATATATTCATAGCGCTGTTTACCACACATCATGCATCTGTATCGATGTAGCACATCTGTACATTTGGTCTGTATAGCAATATAAACATCTGTATATTTACTTACTATTTGTACATAATCTGTGCATAACTGTTCCCACCTTTTATCCAACGCTAATCTGTATGTAATCTGCTCCTATTGCACTTCTGATTAGATGCAAACTGTATTTCTTACCCTGTATTCAAACACGTGTAATGACAATAAAGTTGAATCCTAATCCTACAAAGTCTCATTAGATCACCAGATAAATGTGCTGCTGTAAACAATCCCTGAAGAAAAGTGTCTCCTCTGTAAAAACTGTATTTTTAAAGGACAGAAATCACTCGACCGTTGTGTCCATTAAAGAAAACCAGCTTTGGGACGTTTGCTGTCCTGCTCAGAATCACTGATCTGATTTGTAGAAATGTTGCACTGAAATGTGCTCACTGTGTTTCTGACTCTAAACGTATTTTTTCAGCTTCATCCTCGGCTGACTCTCCAGGTGGAAGTCCTCTTCAGATGGGGAACAGCGCCTCAGCAGAGAAGCTGCGACTCGCTCGCACAAACTTCATCGATAAAGTGTCGAATCCGGTTCTGAACAAGCTGCTGGACGAGCTGCAGCACGTCACCGTGCTAACTGATGCTGAGGGCGAAGCGGCCAGAGCCAAACCGAGAGACGAGAAAGCTCGAGACCTGATCGACATGGTGCGAAAGAAAGGAGCTGAAGCAAGTTCAAAAATGATCGCCGTCTTTTATGCCAACGATCCGTATCTGTGCAAAGAGCTCGGCTTACTGTGAAGCACAAATCTGTGACACGAACAAAGAGACTCGTTGAACTAAAATTTCCTTTCTTTCTTCTTAAAGTCACGATTATGTTTCCACTGATCACACTTCTTAGAAAGCAGATGAGCTTAGACGTGAGGGGAGACGTCCAGTAAATATCCATAAAAGAAAAATTCCAGTTTTTTCTGCAAAGAATGTCTGAAATGTATTTTAGAAATGTTAGTGTTTGTCAGACAGGAGGACAGAGAAAGTAGAAAGAGTGAGACACAGCTGCACTGGTGAATGATGCGAGCTGGACTCAGATCAGTGAAGCCAGCAGAGCCTGTGGTCGTGAACCATGTTTATGTGGAAATACAACACAAAGGTTAATAAAATGCAGCGAATGCCTGCAGTGTTGAGTGTAACGTGTTATTACTTGTGTTATAAAGGTTCAGTTCTTTGTGCAGCAGCTGGATGAAAAGAAAAAACCATCAGCTGAGTTTTTGGGACTTTCGGTCTGAATGAACAGGACGATGCAGGAAGTGTGTTTTTCATCGTGTTTATCATTGAAGTATTAAGACTCGTAACACTATATATGCAAATGTTTCTGTACCTGTGAGCTGTGCTCTGTAAACTGACCAGGATCCAGACCTTTCATATGAACACTTAAACACACGAGTTCCAATAAAAATGCTTTGATTGTGTTTGTTTGCTTTGTGGTTTAAGCGTTTATTTCCTGCACGTTGATGCTTGCTCATAGGGGGTCATATAACTGTTGGGTTTTTCTCTGTATCTATGAAGCGCCTTGAGGCGACTTATGTTGTGATTTGGCGCTATATAAATAAAATTGAATTGAATTGAATTGATGTTCGACGCCGGGATGTTCTGTTCTCGATGTCATGGCAAAAACTTCAGCTTTATGAAGCAGAAGAAGCCACATGTTTATCACCCGCTGCAGCTTGTGTCTGTTTTTTAAAGGCTTGTTTTTTACTTATTGCTAAGCTTCAGGACAGGTGAGTTTCCTTCCCTCACCTCCTCTCCCCTCATCTTAGACCCTCCCTCTTAAGATGCAAACAGAGGAGGCGAGGAAGAGACAGGAGGAGAGAGGAGTCAAGGCAGCAGGTAGGAGACAGAGGAGTCGTTGCTCTGAAACCATCGTTCTAATGAACAAACACTTACAACATGATATGTAACGCTAATCAGTTACATGTAACTGATTACAGTTACTGAGGAAGAACATGCAGTTAAATCTGAATGTTTGCTTTTTCGTCTCCTTTAAATTTGAACTGGTTTCCAAACCATGAGCAGCTCAGGTGGAGCTCAGCAGTCAGGTCAGCTGGTCTGAAGTCAGTTGCTTTCCACTGCAGCTGTGCGCTCACTCAGGACAGCCTGAACATCTGGCTCAGCCATCCTTCCTCCTGCCCATGTTTTTGGTGTTAATATGACTTTTATTTTTATTTGTTCTCTCATCAGCTTCAAAACATAATGTAGCTCAAATCACTAGAAGATTAGCTAATGAAAACCTTCTGATCCACTAGTTTGTGGGATGTTTATTCATATTCTGGTCAAACGTGGCTTCAGTGGTTTTTTCTACGGTCCAGATGTGGATCCAGGTGACAGGAAATGCTTTTAATTTGAAGCACTGATGATGATGAACACCTCACATCACTCGTACCTTTGCAGGCTCAGCATCCATCAGCCACACCCACTAACAGCAGCTTCCCTCTACATCACTGCTCTTTGAAAACTACTGGAATTGGTGGCCTGGAAAATTAGGCCCTGGCGATCTGTTACCCTCAGAAGGCCGGAGTAACCTGTAAGAGCCGTTTATACTCATGTAGATTCATAATCAGGTTTTTACCTTTTTTGTTTCACAAAGCGTCACAGGATATTTTATTAAAGCAGCTTAGCAACAGTACAACAGAAACTCTTCTTTGATTAATAATAAAGAGGATTTATTTTTAGCAAAAGCACATGTAGATAAACTCTGGTATAGTACTCTTCATCATTTCAAACATAAAAGGCTGGAGGTTGACCTTTAACCTCTCAGGTGTGGTCAAAGGAGCTTGCAAAGAAAGGCGTCTGGACTTCTTTAAGTTACTTGAAGATCAGTTTGATGTAGTCTCTCTCTTCACCTGCATACCCACCACGGAGGCCGTGGAGACTGTCAGAAAACGACTACAAGAAGACAGCTCCTTGGAAGACAGGACCAACTTCACACCCGATCAGATCTGCACACTGTTAGACCTCTGCCTCACCACTACATACTTCAAATACAACGAAGGCTTCTACAGACAAAAACATGGCTGTGCCGTGGGCTCCTCCGTGTCACCTATTGTAGCCAACCTTTACATGGAGGAAGTGGAGAGAAAGGCTGTTGGCTCTTTCAAAGGAAGAGTACCCAGCCACTGGTACAGATATGTAGACGACACCTGGGTCAAAATCAAGACACAAGAAGTGGAATCCTTCACTGCGCACATTAACGCTGTGGATAAAAACATCAAGTTCACCAGGGAAGACACAAAGGACGACTGTTTGCCTTTCCTGGACTGCGCTGTGCACATTGAAGAGAACGGCAACCTCAACATCGAAGTTTACCGGAAGCCCACACACACGGACCAGTACCTCCTCTTTGACTCCCATCACCCTCTGGAACACAAACTTGGAGTAATCAAGACCCTACACCACCGGGCAGAACATGTTCCCTCTAAGCATGAAGGGAAAAAGAAGGAACACACACATGTAAAGGAAGCACTCAAAACGTGCGGCTATCCTAAATGGGCGTTCTTAAAGTCAGCAAAGAGGCACAGAAAAGAAGACCAGACACCAGCGAGGGAGGATAAGAAGGACAGACGCAACAACATTGTCATCCCCTATGTAGCCGGTGTATCAGAGAAACTCAGGAGAGTTTTCTCCAAGCATGACATCCCAGTGCATTTCAGACCCAGCAACACACTCAGACACAAACTGGTTCACCCGAAAGACAAAGCGCCAAAACACAAACTTAACAATGTGGTGTTTGCTGTACAGTGCAGCGAGGAATGCTCAGACCTCTACATTGGAGAGACCAAACAGCCACTTCACAAGCGCATGGCACAACACAGAAGAGCCACCTCCACAGGACAAGACTCAGCAGTCCATCTGCATCTAAAGGTCAAAGGTCACTCTTTCGAGGATGCCAATGTTCACATTTTGGACAGAGAGGACAGATGGTTTGTGTGACGGCCAGTGGGCTGGCCTTATGTTTTGCTTTTGCTTTTACCTGTTTCTTGCAGGTAGGTGGAGCTGACCCAATTATTGATGCAGCACACCTGAGAGGGCCAGTCCCAGTGTATATAAAGACACCTTGACTGAACCAGGGGGGCTGGCTTTTGGCTCCTTCTGACGTGTTATGTTTATTTGGAAGTTTCAGTTATGGCTGTTATGTCCTTTAAATTGTCTTTAAGTTGCTTTACCTTATTTTCATTAAATATGTCTTACAGTCTTTAAAAGCCTGTGTGTGGTCTCCCATTTGTTTGTCACTTCCTATGAGCCGGGTTGTGACATATACATGTGTATAAAGAGGAGTGAAAGAAGCATCTATGTCCACTGTGAGCGACCATCTTTGAACAGAGGCGGGGCTTACGACACCAACTCTCTGCCATCTATAATCCAGTTTTGAGATCCTTCCCAGACGCCTTAACACCCACTCACATCCTGGGCCATCTGACCTCAGGAATTCACATGATAAGGTGGGGCCAGGTTTCACAATGAGCTCACCCGGAACTCTGGCTGATTGGGACCCACGCCCAGTTTCACACCTTGGCTCAGGCGATTAGAGGATCATCAGGGGTCCTTTTGTCCCTCTGTGGGGGGAAACTCCCACTGGGTTTAAATCTGGGACTCTCCACCATTTGACCTTAGAACTGAAGAAGCTTCTCGGATGAGAGGTGAAACGTCTTCAAGCTACTTAAAGAAGTCCAGACGCTTCTCTTTCCAAGCTCTTTGACTATGATAACCTGGAGGACTGAGAACCTTCAGACATAAAAGGACAATGCAGTTTAAAAATGAAAAGTTTTATATCACAAGTTGTGGATTATCTGTTTGCCCAGCTGGTAACATCTGGTGGACAAAGGTTGTTTCTCCGTCTCTTCTTTATTTTATTTTTTTACTTTTTAGTTCATTTGCTGTTATAATGCTGATACAGATACTGTCTGCAGCTTTATCAGCAAACCGTTAATACCAGCAAACATATCAGCCTCATATTTCAGGCTCTACTATTAGTTTCTTATATCTGAAACCAGGAAAGAAACCTTGATCATGAAAACACAGGAGAATCTGATGGATTCATGATGGTGCTGTTTAACAGTCTGAGAATGAGTCAAGAATAAAAAGTGTGTGAGTGAGTTGCTGTGGGTGTAATCTGATCACGAGTGACACACTAATGAGGAATGCACAGAAACAACAACTCTGAATTATTTATGAACAGCTGAGCACAGACGGGGAGAGGCCGAGTTTATTCTGTAAGGCTGCAGATATCAGGCTGTAAATGTCCTTATTTCTACTGGATATTCTAACATGCTGCTCTGCAGACTTTACCTGTCCTGTCTGATCATGTTTCACCTGGAAAACTGAGAACAGGAAGTGTGGAGTTTGTTTTCAGCTACTTTATTAAATCCAAACTCCTCTCAGCCGCCGTCAGTGTTACAGGTCATGAGCTGATGGCAGGAGGCACAGTCGATGGGATATGATCACCGACGAGGACAGGATGTGATGCACAGGCTCTCCCGGTTCATGGGGAATGTTTTGAACAATTTTCTTTGTTCTAATGTTTTTCACCATTTCAGCACACATGCAGACGTGATGTCTGGCTTCAGATGTGAGAGTCAGTTAAAGATTATGTGAAGGTCGGGCTGTAACTGTTCATGTGTTACTATTTATGACTCTAATAGCTGATCTGTCTCAGTGACGTATGTTTGGTTTTTGGAATCACGTATAAAAAAGTGTAAAACTGAGTCTGAGTGAAAACATGAAGGTCAGAGAACATTTCCTCCAGATTAATGTCACAGTTTACAAACCAAAGATATGAGAGGCAGCGACGTTTGTGCAGGTTAAACACTGTGAAATGTGTGTTTACAGGGAGCACACGTGACAGCGCTACAAATATACAGCAAGGCAATCAGAGAAGATGGAGACAAGTAACCACCAAAATAACAGTTATAATAGAACTGAAAGAAAACAGGAAGGTGAGAATGTAAACAGTAAACAAAGTAATAATCAGCCTTTGAAGATTCAATAAGAAATAGCAGAGAAACACTTTGTGTGACAGCTTCATAGAGAGAGAACATGGAAACACAGCGAGGCGGCCAGAATAAGCACCAGACCTCCACCTCCCCGGCTCTTTCTTTGTCTCTTGCAGGGTTATTAACTTTCAAGAATGTACCACACCATACACAATTCCCTCTGCAACCCACCCACAGACCCACAGACCCTCATTATGGTGTGGAGGGGGCTTCACAGACCTGCACACTCACATTCCAACTGTTATGAATCACATCTGTTTGTCACGCAGCTGAAAAGAAACTGACTTACAAACACTTGTAATGCTTTTATTTAACCGAACCTCTGCGCAGAGGGAGATCCTGCAACTGTAACCAGCAGATCTGAGGGGCAGCCCCTCCCTCAGTCCTACACAGATACACATTCAGCCTCACCCTTCGGGGGAGGGCCCGCCTGAGCTTTAAAACATGCAGACATACAGACCGTGGGGGTTCCCTTATATGGCAACAACAGCAACTGTTGTGTGTGGTGAGTGGTGTGCGTAGCGGTTTTTGATAAGGGCAACATGGGCGGTTGCCCAGGGCGACATCGTGCTGGGGGCGGAGTCATGGCATCTGCAAAAACATTTAAACCCACCAAACAGGCTAGGACCGCCCCTGTGTGGGCACCCTATCATCTAAACAAACGTGAGCACATTTTGTTCTAGTCACTGTTTTCTTGTACTGGGATTCAAACCCACAGCCTTTTGAATCATGTTCCTGTGCATCTCTTACTAAAATGTGCTCACATAAAATCTGTCAAACAGTCTTTTCTTTGCTTTTATTCATTTTCTGATGTAAAAAAATGTCACCAGTGAGACGCTTCTGCCCCCTGGTGGTGCTGTGTGGTCATTGCATTGATGTGCTCTCTCTTTACATTTACTTCATAATAAACTGTTGTTATGATTTAGTGAATTTAATTTAAAAATGTATTTAAAAAATAAAACATCACAGAGCTTCATTGACTGAGATCACTAAGATGAGTGGGCATGTTCATTAACATTGACAGCAACTGTGCTCCAAACGTCACTAAGCAGCTCTGCAGTGTGTGAACCGTTAGCTCTTTGCTATGGTCATTTTATCCACGTGGAGCTGAGGATGTGTGTGGATGTTTCCTGTTTGTGGTTTGGAAGTCAAAGAGTAGGAAGAGAAACACTCACAAAGCTTCTGTTATTTATTTCATGTATTTGCAGCAACAGTCGGGAAGATGAGAATAAATGACATCAAATCTAATTTGTGAACAGCTTGTCAGTGACCACAAGGGGGCGCCCTGTGAGCTGACGGAGGCAGTGATGAGCTCTGTGAGCTGCTGGAGTTTGAACTGTGGACAAAAGTGTGAAGTTAAAGGAGTGAATTAAAAGCAGAGAAATAAATCAGAGCTCAGTGAAGCTTTCAGTCCTCAGAGCAGCAGTAAGGCTCGTCCTGGAGATCTACATGCACTCACATCACAAATAAACCTTTGAAGGAATATTGATCAGAATCAAATGTGATTCAGTCTCTGCTCCTTTCTTCCAAGCCCAGCTGCTGCTCCTCACACACAGACCTTCCAAAGTTTCCTTCCCTCACCTCCTCTCCCCTTGTCCTAGACCCTCCCTCTGAGGATGCAAAGAGAGGAGGCAAGGAAGAGACGCGAGGAGAGAGGAGTCAAGGCAGCAGGTAGGTGACAGAGAGGGAAGTCTTTGCTTTGTTGCATCATTTGAATGATTTGACAGGTAAACATGACGTACAGCTGCGTCCTCTGTCCATTGTCTGGATACAGTCTTTTATGATCAGTGTCAGAGGAGCAGGTCAGAGGTCATGATGATGTAGATGGAAACTCTTCTGTGGCACATTCACACTGTAAAAATACACTTTATTCATAATCAATCCAAATCATCAGCACCAAAGGAAAACTTCTTTCCAGAGTCCAGCTTTCCTCGGACGTTCCAGCCAGTCACACCTCTCATGTGACGAGCACCAGTTTGTAAGACACTGCTGTCAGACTGGAGCCATCACTGGTTCCTGATACCGCCGCTAAAATCCCACCCTGGAGAAGGAGAAACACAGGAATAAGCAACGCAGTGAAACATGGACGTGGGAGACGGCTGCTTCTGCTGGTGGAGAGCAGCCAGAGGGAGAATGTGATCTGTGTGGAAGTTCATGTTCCAGCAGAAGAACTGTGACTCCAACACACTCCTGACTTTAGTGTTTCATGTGTTTGTTGTGTGTCTGCATGTAGTCAGCTTCCACTGAGCTGCATGGACTCTGAGCTGACGGTGTGAGCAGGTACCCACCTGTCTGCTGTCAGCTGTGCCAGTGTAAAGGAGCACTTCATCCACAGGAGCTGTGAAAACACAAAGTTCATGGAAGCTTCAGGTTAGACATGTGCCACCTACTCTGTCCACGTCTGCATGATACTCTGCAGCGTCAGGAGTAACTAGTTACTGCTGTAATCAGTTACAGTTGGTGAATGTTGGAGCTGAGTAAATGTAGAAAACAGCTGTGTGTGTCTCTTGTTGCAGCTTGTTTAAAGACAGCCGGCTCATCACAGCTGGATCAGCTGGAACACATGTGACAGGAAATGACCTCCAAGCAGCAGACAGGTGACTCTCACCTGCAGCACTTTCACACTTTCAGCTTCAAAGGATTTTTGGCTCAGTTGTTGCGTCTGTCAGAACCAGGTGGACCTGAGTCGGTCCAGTGAAAGTACTCGGATTACTTCTTACATTTGTAGTAACTAATAATCTGTCATGTGTCTGCTCACAGCTGTTTCTGTGCTGGAGGACCGCTTGGGTTTGGTGGTTTGGTCATGGGGGGGTTGTTGCTGCACTTCCTCCATAAACATGTTTTACACTTTGATCTTCACGTCTCAGAACAAGATTACAAATATGAAAAGAAATATTCAAGAACACAAACCTCTGCCTGCAGCTTGTAGGAGTTTAAACCTGTCTTGGACAGGATGCTTCCTCTTCATGATGATGATGATGATGATGAGGGTAGCACTCAGGACACAGAAGATTATAATGAGGATGTTATCTGTCAAACAGGAAATCAGATGTCAGCAAACACAGTGAACAACATGTTTAAAATCACAGTTGGAAATAATCTCACAGTTTCTTGGTTTATTCGAGCTGTTGGTGTCGTTGTCGTCTGTGTCTCCACAGGTGGTTCTCACACGGACAGGAAGAGTTTTCTCCTCTGCAGGGTTTGCAGCCACACATCTGTAAGAGGAGCTGAAGTCCTGTTTGTGCACAGTGAGAGGCAGAGAGAGCGCAGAGCTGCTCTGGTTCAGCATCTGCTCGTCTTTAAACCACAGCAGTGTGGTCTCTCTGTCCACCCAACACAGTAAGGAGCAGCTCTCAGAGCTCGAGTTCAGCTTAGTCACGTTAGGTGTTGGTACAGGATCTGGAGGTGAAAGTTGATGGAGAACAAAAATAAACATCAGAAAAATGTTTTTAACTTTCAGATTTTTGTTAGTGAACATCATCAGGACAGCAGAGCTCTGGTTATTGCTGCTTTAATGCAGTCAGTGAACATTAATATGAAACTGCTCATCTCAAACACAGCAGAGACAGCAGACTGCCAAACCTCCATTATATCCATTTGAATCTCATTATAAAGGTTTATGAGGGATTTCTCAGGTTTCCTGTCAAACTAGCATCACTATCAGCAGAAGGTGCTGAAGAGGACACAGAAGAAACCAACGCTCTGATTCAAATCCTCATGAAAGGAAGAAAAAAGCCCGTTAACAACAACAAAAAGCTCTAAACAGGTTAAACTCCTGAGGCTCCTGCTGTGCACCACAGCTCATCCATGATGCTTTGTCCACATTCGTCTAGTTTCACTTTGATTCTGATGTGAAAAGATGATAAAAATCCAAATTTCATGTGAAGAAGACACAGGACAGGGAATTTATTGAACTGGAGGAGCCATCAGAGCATCACCAAAGAAGTAGTAATTATTTATAATGTTATTATAAATCAGGATTTAAAATCCAGGCTATAAATGTTTAATTCAACCTTCACGTCTCTGCAAAGATATGAAGTCGTGCATTTTTCTCAGGAAGTGACTGAACTGCAAACAAACATGCAGCTACAGCTCAGCATGTTTGTTTGAGCTCATCTCAAAGTGATGGAGCTGTAAAGGTGACTTTGATGTTTCTGACAAATCACTTTCATGAAGAAGTCTCAGCTGTACGATGAAGCTGAACGACACCATCACTGATATGAAACTTCAGGAGCTGCTGAGGACAAACAGCCTGAGTCAGACTTAAGGAGGTTGATAGTTTTCACAGGTTTATGAAACAGGATGTTGGGAGTTTGTGAGGATCTAAAGATGCCAGCGTGGTTTCCTTCAGCTCAGGCAGGTCATTGAGCAGCAGCATCTTCAGCTTCAGTGCTGAGCTCCATCAGTCTGATCCATTTATTTGGACATGTTTAAGGTTTCCTGTTCCACAGACTCACAGCAGGAAACACAGAGACATGATTCTGTGTGTGCGTTCCTGTAACTACATGACTGTCGTTGGTTTCCTACGACACAGACAGCAGCTTTGTAGTCAGACACAAACATTACAGCACAATGTGTTGCTTCATGAGTGGAAACCACAGCTCGTGTTTTGTAATGTGTTCCTCTCACAGCAGCAGCCACAGGAAGTCACCATCAACAACAAACCCGTCAAAATAAAAGTGTCTGTTCTGCTTGTTAGGCAGTGTAACACTGTAGGCCACACAAGACTGACAGGTGGCAGCTGGGCTGTTCACATATACATGTTTCACAGTAAGAAGTAACTGTTAATGCTTCATAAAGAAGTTCAATACCTTAGAAACTCACAGGGTGCTGTGCTGAGCTGTGATTGGGCGATAGTTAGGCACTAGTGGGAACATGGCCAATGAGGCTTTGTGTTACTTCTCAGTGGATTCACGTGACCATGAAATGGGAAACATGTTCAAGTAAACAGGAAGTTTTGTGTTTTGGTTTAAAAAAGCTGTTAAATAAAAACGTGTTAATTTCAGTTGTTCTGCAGGATTTTCTAAGAACAGTGTTTAAAGTTTCTGCTTTGTCCTGTTCTTTCATTCACTTTGTACACATCAGTAATGTTGGTGAAAACACTGAAGTCAAAGCTGATTATTCCTTTCACACCAGACATTTGTGGGATTATAAGAACAAAAAGCTGTTTTTATTCTGAAGTGATGATATGACCAAACTAATGAGGAACATACAGACTGAGGTCACATATGGAGCTGGGATGTTGCACAAAAATATACCAGAGTAAATGTGAGACTTACCGTACACTGTGAGCTTATATGATGATATCCTGTTTCCTTTTCCTGTTTTAGAGTCAATGACATAACTCCCTGAGTCGTCCCTCTGCAGCTCTGTGAGTGTAAAGAGTCCAGAGTTTCTGTCCCACTGAAGTCTGTTCATGTACTTTTCCTCTAATACTTTCAATTCTCCATTATTCACCAGAGCAATATTCGTTCCTTCATATAACAGAAATCCTAACTCTTCCTCCAGCACAGAGTCAGGTAGAGTGATATTTCCTCCCACAGTGCCCGTCAGGTTCTTCTTCACTTCCTCAGAAGCAGAAAATATCATCACTGTAAAATATGAAGAGATCCAACAGTCAGTGAGAACTTTAATGAAAGTGATCAGAGATCTTACAAAGAGCCACAGAAAGTAAGTGAGGATTAAATCCAGGCAACATGAAGCACGAGGAGGGTGAAGCTGATACATGTGAGCTGCATCAGTGACAGGAGGAACTCAGCCTCACACATTTTACACCAATCACAACAACTTCTTACTTTTTGATCTGGTTGTGACAAACTAAACATTTACAGCTGCAAAAAGGTCGTTGGTGTCGAATAATGTTCAAATGTCATGAAGCCACATTTTATTCACAATAGAAGATAGAAAACATTTCACATGTTTAAACTGAGAGAGCTCATTTTTAATCTGATGGCAGCAACACGTCTGTAAACGCTGGACGGGGTCATGCTTCCTCTGCAGACGTGCGGACTGATCAACTTGTTTGTTTCTGAGAAACTCGGCCTCTCGAAGACTCTTTGTACCCGATCATGTCACTGACCTGAGATCTGCTGCCATCAAACACAAAGTGATCTCATGAAACAGTGAAATATCTCAGTTTAATACAACAGAGATTCAACATGATTTTATTCAACAAACCTCAGAGTTTCTTCAACATTTAGTCCAAGTTTCAAATTAAAGCACGAAGAAAGAAAAAACTGTTTGAAAGGATCGACGGCCAAACATGTGCAGTAAGTTTGATATCTGAGGTTTACAATAGTGAAACAAAACAATGGACAAATCGTAAGTAGAAAGAAAAAATAGACTTGAAGAAAACAGAAGTTATCTAACGTCAAATGAAACTAACATCTGTGAACAACCAGCTCGAGGACGTTCACAGTAAAAACGATGATGACTGTGAGCTGTGGTCACGTCTGTGGAGCCGACGGTTTGGAGAAGAGAGCGTGTGGACCCAACAGCAGACGATGGAGGCAGGTGATGAACAACAAGCGAGACTTTAACTGCTGAACTAAACTACAAACAACAGCAAAGGAAGGATTTGGGGTTGATTGATTGATTGATTGATTGATTGAATCTTTATTTTGAACATATTGAAAAAGTACAACAACATAGAATTAAAAGAGACAAACAAACAAAGCAAAACAAAAGGAAAATGAGCAACCGCAACTACAAATGACTTTCATGTTCAAAAAGGAGCAGGAAGAAGCATAAGCTTATTTAATCCCACCCCCTTTTCCACTATCTAGTAATCAACAGAATACAGAAATCCTCCTTACAATTACATTATATGTTACATGTATTTAAAATAAATAAATAATTATATGTATATCTATCTTTCTATCTATCCATATATACATGTATACACATACGCACATATACACATTTTCACTAACCCCAGTTACACCTCAAAGGATACACAACCTACAGATATATACACCCAAAATACACGTGCACCCACACACACATGAAAATATTGGACAAGGACACCCTATCAAATCTCTCCCTCGTCCCTCGTCTCCTTAAACTGCTGTTTAAACTGCGCCATGCTTGGACTTTGCTTCATATCTTTACTTTTCCACAGCTTCACTCCACACACAGAGATGCAAAAACCTTTTAATGTTGTACGGATACGAGGATGTTTTAAATTTAATTCCCCCCTCAAATTGTATCCCCGTTCTCTTTTAGAAAACAGTTTTAGAATATTGTCAGGAAGCAGGCTATTTATTGCTTTATACATAATTTATGCAGTGAGAAAATGAACCAGATCTGTGAATTTTAGAATTTTTGATTTTAAGAATAGTGGATTTGTATGATCTCTGTAACCAGTTTCATGGATTATCCTTATGGCCCTTTTTTGTAATATAAAGATTGATGATAGCGGACGTTTGTAAGTATTGCCCCAAACCTCTGCACAGTAATTCAAATACGGTGCAATCAGGGAACAATAGAGAATGTGTTTGACTTTACTCAAGATTGAAACACTTCTTCCAATTTTGTTATCTATATGATTTATATGTGACTTCCAGATTAATTTTTCAACTATAATCAGACCAAGAAACTTATATTCAAGTACTCTTTCAATTTCCACACCATCTATATGAATTCGCACTTGTGCATTTCTAAGGGAATTCCTAAATAAGACTATTTTAGTTTTACTTAGATTTAGCGATAGTTTGTTCCTGTTAAACCATTTTTTTAATTTTGCACATTTCTGAAGTAATTGTATCGAGCAGCTCCTTTAGATTCCCACTAGAACAAAAAATATTTGTGTTGTCTGCAAATAATAAAGGGGTTACTGTCCTGCCCAAGGATATTTGGCATACAGACTAGGGGAGCCAGGAATCGAACCACCAACCTTCCAATCAGTAGAGGACCTGCTCTACCGCCTGAGCTACAGCCACCCTGTAAAGTCTCAAACACGTAACCTAAAGCAGATGACTCGTAATCTGGAGAGGAAATGGCGTGTCACAAATTTAGAGGATCATCATTTAGCCTGGAGAAATAGTTTGCTGCTTTATAAGAAAGCCCTCCGCAAAGCCAGAACATCTTACTATTCGTCACTGATTGAAGAAAATAAGAACAACCCCAGGTTTCTCTTCAGCTCTGTAGCCAGGCTGACAAACAGTCAGAGCTCTGCTGAGCCAACCATCCCTTTAACGTTAACTAGTAATGACTTCATGAACTTCTTCACAAATAAACTTTTAACCGTTAGAGGAAAAAATGACCAATAATCATCCCACAGATGTAATATTATCTACAGCTACTCTTAGTACCATTGATGTTAAGTTAGACTCTTTTTCTCACGGTCTGTTGGAGGCAGAGCGAGTAGAGAAAGAGTGGAGCACGCAAATCTAGACGCTGATGAGGAGACAGAATAAACTTAACACAAGTCTTTATTTGTGGCTGAAGCTTGAACTTACAAAAATAAAGCAAAAGTCTGAGATCAACTAAGAAAACGATGAACACTGATTATGAAACATGAAGGGTCACTATGAAGTCTAAAACTGGACAAACATAGAAACCATGGAAACAATGAGGAATAATGGCTGCCTTTAAGCTCAACTGAAGCTAAACAAGAATAACACATGAACTATAATCACAAATCTAAGATTAGACGAACACAAAAATAAACTCAGAGTCAGAGTCCCAGCCTGTGACACCAGCGGTCTTTCTGAGTTAACTTCAATAATTTCTTCCTCCAAACCTTCAACGTGTCTTTTAGACCCCATTCCTACAAAATGCTCAAAGAAGTCCTGCCATTAATTAATGCTTCGATCTTAAATATGATCAACCTATCTCTAATGATCGGCTATGTACCACAGGCCTTCAAGCTGGCTGTGGTTACACCTTTACTCAAAAAGCATCTCTAGACCCAGCAGTCTTAGCTAATTACAGGCCAATCTCCAACCTTCCTTCATATCATGATAATGTGATGTCTGTGAGATCATTATGATCACACTGTTCTTCAAACTTTGTCATGAAGCTGATTTCTTGTTATGAAGCCTGGAAGGATCCAAAGACAAACTTCATCCTCCACATCTGGCAGACCAAACATCTGCTGACAGATGCAGTGAAGCTGCTTCTGTTGGTCTGTCAGCTGTTTGTTCAACAAACACGTTTCTGACTGAACAGTTTGTTCACAGGTAAAAGCTGCATCGCTCTAAGAATGAGCCAAACACCTGTTTTTGTCACTGATACACAGAAGAATGATTTTAGGAGCCTGAACAACAACGAAGAAGAAGAACTTACCTAAAAACACGAGAATAAAGCTCATCTGAGGCATCGTGACTTCCTGTTACTGTGGAGGGTTTTTACACGAAGAAGCCAAAATAGCCTCTCTCTCTCTCTGTTTATCTCTCTCGCTCGCACTGCATGCTGGGAGTTTGGTGGGTGTGAGTTTTTCATTAAATGCTTTTTCAGTTTTCTCACTGTGTTTGTTGTGTGATCGTTTCAGAGCTGTCTGTGATTGTTAGTTTGTTGTGTTTTTGGGGGACGCCGTCTTTGAAGCATGGAGTCAGGGTGGAGCTGCAGCCGAGCACCACCCTCGAGCAGGTGCCGTTGGCTGTAGGAGAGCAGGTGGATGAATAAAGCGGTTGTTATTCTCTGAAAGAGCAGGGGTTTGTCAGCCAGCTTAGAGAGCGGATGTCTCGTTGGTATCTAGATATAGTAGATATGTAGCTGCTTCATCTTATGCACACACTTACTGTTTTAGTGCCACCACCTGGTCGTCTGGAAGAGGTGCAGCAGCTTCTGGTGAAGTTTGTCTGGTCTGGTCAGCATTGGCCTGTATCTTCCTGTGTCAGAGGGGGAACAAGGACTAATGGACGTTTTGTCTTTAGCCTACAGACTGCACAGAGGCTGCTGTACGACTGTGGTTACTGCTGGCTGACTTCTGCTCGTTGCTTCTCAGGAGAGCGGGCCAGCCTTGATTGGATGGTACCATATCACCCTATTAGAGCGCTCCGCTCTCGCTCTGCAGGCCTACTTGTTGTTCCTAGAGTATTTAAAAGTAGAATGGGAGGCAGAGCCTTCAGTTTTCAGGCCCCTCTTCTGTGGAACCAGCTTCCAGTTTGGATTCAGGAGACAGACACCATCTCTACTTTCAAGATTAGGCTTCAAACTTTCCTTTTTGCTAAAGCATATAGTTAGGGCTGGACCAGGTGACCTTCGACCTTCCTTTGGTTATGTTGCCTTCTTTTCACTCCCCGTGTGTTGCATGTCATTAACGTTGCCTCGTCTCTGCTCTCCTTCTCTTCCCCCCATCAGGTGTCAGCAGGTGGCCCCGCCCCTCCCCGAGCCTGCTTCTGTTGGAGGTCTCTGTCCACAACACAGCTACGAACAACACAAGCACAGTGCAAAACCTCCCACACCATCTATTTTTA